ATTTTCTTTAATACAAACATAAGTGCCTACCCTCTATGCGTGTGTAAGTGTGTGTGTTTGTATAATCATGTGATACCAAAATAAAGAAAAATGTGAAAATCAAATAACAGCGACAGCAGTGGCCAAGCCATGGCACTAAACAGTCACACAAGAAAAAAAGTGGAGCAATAAAGCAAACAAAGTCGACGAAAAAAAATACATTTGTTGCCATGTACTCGCCACCAACCCATCCCCCAGTGACGCTGCAACCCTGCCACTGCTGCACTACACCTCAATGCAACACAAATATCTAACCATCCATACATACATATATCCGTTCTATGACTGTGGAGGGAAAACCAAAAATAAACAGCATGTAAATTCATCGTGACAATTAACGGACCATTGTCCGTATCTGATCAGTATAAAAATTGATCCCATATCAATCGACCTAACGCATCGATATTATTGCTTGATCAAGTCTGCCGTATTATATTTCAATGAACACAAGCACAAATATCCCACTGATGCTGAGAGGAGAATAAATACAGATACGAAGAAGAAAAATTCTAAAAACATTAACAAAAACATTCTTAGCAGCTATCCGCATAGAACGTGAGAGGAGAGTGGGCTGTTTGGGATTGAGATGGAGAGACTGGCCCCAAAAAGTTGTTGAAGTTAAGAGCACGAAATGGCATCGATAGTGCACAGTGGTAATAGGTGTTCCAACTTTGGGACAACTAGCAATGACTTTCATTTGCAAATGCAAATTTTCAATTCCATCCCACTGTAAGGAGTGGACTGCATGGCGACGTCAGCATCATCCTCTGCTGCTGCTTTTGCCTAATTGTCTAGGTGAGGTCGTCGTCGCAGATGCCTGTGACGGTGGCTGTGGGGGGAGGGTGTATCAGTGGCCGGTGGGCAACGGGGATTGGAGCGACGACGCATTTAGCGGTTTGGCCATGTTTAATTTTGTTTGCATTGGTCGTGGAATGGCAAGCGATGTTGGTGGGTTTTTGGGAGGGGAAAGGTGGGGGTTACTTTTCCTCCTCTCTCGTCCTCTCCTTATGACTCTCTGTTTGTGCGAGAGTGTGTAATAATAGGCGGATTGCATAGATTTAATAAGTTCCTACTTTTTCTCTTCTCTCTCTCTGTCTTCCCTTCTCTTTTTCATTTACGCTTCATTTCGTTTGTTATTTTGTGTTTGTTTGATTGTTTTTACTGTTGATAAATGTCAAACAAAGTGGATGTTGTATAAGGGGAGGCCGCGAAAAATACTGCTCCCAGATATTTAGCATACATACATATTTTGCTCTGAGCAAAGAAATGAACACAACTTGAGTAGAGAATTTTCGCTCGCATGCCGGAATGCGACTTTACCTTAAATAAATACACCTTGACAGTCTCTCTTTCTCTTGCTTTCAGTTGCGTTGCTTGCGCTCTCACTGCTTGGGGCCCCTCCCTCCACTATAGCGCCGTCAGCGTCGCAAAATGATCTCGTTTACATTGTCTTTTGATTTTGCGTCGTCTTCGTCTGCCTCTGTTACGGATTTTCTCTCCCCTTCTCCTTCTGCTTCTTCTTTTCTAACCCCTTCCATTGAATGGTTCGCTGCTGTTCTTATTGTTGTAATATTTGGACGAAATGCGCAGTTAAGGAAAAGAATGCTTGTAAGCACTTGCTCTTGTTCTGCTTGCTATTGCCATTCCACTCACTCAAACACACACCTCGTCAAGCACAAGGTAACGAAAAATTCGCTCACAAACATTTAAGGTTATTGGCTACCCTTGCAAGGGGACGGGCTATGATGTACATACATATGTATGTACGTGAAGCGGCGCTTATACAAATTCCTGGAAAATGCTGCTGAATCTTTTGAGATTTCAACGAAATCGGAGCAAGTTGCCAGGGAGTTTACAGCTGCCCCTCCCACTAGTCTTTCACTCATTTTCTTCTTATTTTAATTTTGTTTAAGGCGACGCGTGCCGCACCAATTAGCGTATTTCTCATGCGTAATACAACAAAATGTCCACCACATATAAACTGGAAATTTTACTCATAAATATGTATTAAAAAATACGTCGTTATCCCCTGATAAAACGCTGCGTTTATGAATTTCAATGAGTTGAGGAAAACATGAGGACAGAAAAATTGGCGAGCACATGATGCTCATCCCAAGGCCAATCGGTATGGCTTATGAACACTTAAGACAAGACTAATACAAGACTGGGCTTCCTTTTCTGCGATTAGTGGCTAATTCGTTTGAGTCACAAACTTCGCTTAAATTACATTTTCCGTTGATCAAATTTGAATTAACGCGCCGATAGCATGCCGATGACATGTGGTGGCAACGCTTAGGAAGTGCTAGCAAAGAGGTGGCACCACTATGCTTAACAATTGGCGCCACTGTGCAGTGTAACAGTCATTTTGTTAATTTTCTTAGCACAACAGATGGAGGCAGTGCTTTATGTTTGGAGACAAAATTGTTAAGTTGTTTTCCCTGACCTCAATTTGCAGTCAGTTTGATTATTTATTAAACAGTAATTAGCTGAAATTTCAGCAGCAAACAAAATGAACGTCGCTAATTCTTTGCTAGAAAAGTTCGTTTTTATGGATAACTCGAATAATGGATTAGTATATCTTATGAATAAATTATTGAACATTATTTATGCCAAACTACAAATTGTGGAAAGTTTTCGGAATTCAATTTTAATATCCAAATGAAAAATTTATTTTAAAATGTTTCCCCGTTAGAGCACTCAAAACTCTTTTACTTGGTCCCTTGTCCGGGCTGTTATCTACTTGGACAAACAAATCTATCAATTAAGAAAAAAGCTTTAAGCTGTCAACACGCCCAAGTACTTTGTCGGCGGAAAACCCAAACCCTCCTGGGGATAAGCTGCACTCATTGTTTGTCCAGCACTCAACCCAAACCCAACGCAACCGAACCCAACCCCCAGACATCAGCAGGAGTTTTCTTGTGCTGTGGTTTTTGCCTTTCCCTTGTTCTGCTTCGTCTCTTGTCATTGGTAATATTTTGTGCTTGCCACAAGTAGGGCTTGTTGCCATTGTAATGCCATCTCGGCTCCCAAACCAAACCAAACCAAACCAAACCAAACACCCCACCATCCCAGGGGCAGGGATATCGTCTTGACGGGGAACCGCTGCCAATTGTCGACTGTTGCATGAATTATGAGCGTCTGCGAAGATTTATGAATTCGAGAGGATAACAAAAGTGCGCAAAGTATTCATGACAGCGACTCCACCCTCCCCCAGCCAAAGAGCAAAAAAAGGGAAAAATCTGTCAGCTGTTAAGTTGAGTTATAAATTTCCTGCAATTAGGTTGGATTTCAATTTTGCTTTCCTTCGCTCGTTCGTTCCTCTTTCTACTTACTTTGATTACAAAATGATGATGATGATGATGATGATTCTTCTTCTCCGTTTTCTACACCCCCCCACCTATTGGCTGTTCATGCAAATTTGTATCGACAAATTTTGTACAGACTGTACTTGTTTTTTTTCTCCTTCTCGCTTGGCTCTCTGTTTTTTTTCTGTCCCTGTGATTGGCTTCCATTGCAGTTCTTCTGCCTCAGTGCATTGATCGGGTGTGCAGAAATTTGCAAACTCATGGGAAATCCATACGTTTGATAACAATACAGCAGCAGCAACTGCAGCAGTCTACAATAACAACAACAAAGAGTGTAAAAAATGCACAAAAAAAATCAAGAAATAAACGGAACACACACGCGAAACAGCAATGACAACGACGGAAACGGAAACGGAAACGAGACCGACAAAAACGCGCACAAGTCGGCACACGCCTCCACCCGAGGACTGAGACTGACTCCAACCCGCACCCTCCCCTTGGAGAGCGCCAATTGCAAGCGTTCATTAAGCGGCGGGTAGCAAACAAAATCAATGAATGGTGTAAAAATTAATATCCTGTGGCAGCAAAAATCCAAAATTAAACAAAATAAAATAAAAAACACACACAGCGGGCAGGCAAAATGAGCGCAAAAGAAGTGCTGCAAAATGCATAAGAATGACTTAAGAGAGTCAACTGCAGACTACAGGGATACCCTATAAATATTTTATGTATACATACATGTGTATGTATCTACATACATTTCCTTATTTAATTAGCATTTTTTTCCTTTCTACTTTCAAAATCAGATAATAATAATTTTGTTTCAGTTTTTAGCAAAATTATTATAGATATTATGAGTACAGAAAATAAAACTCAAAATAATGATAAAATGTAGATTTTGTTTTCTTAAGAAGTTTTTTATCAATGATTTTTTTTTTAGTTTCAATTGATAAAAATTAATTGTAAAAAATCACACATAAAATAATTGTTTTCTCTTTTATAATCTTGTCTTCCAAATGCAAGAGTTGTAGCTACTCAGAGCCATACCCTACAGCAGCATCTAGGGTATAAATTGTATGCAAAGAATTGTGAAGCAGCAGAGGGTAGACGGGGGAGTACTGATGGCTATTATGCTGGGCGTGGAGTCTTCTTGTTGGCGTCGTCAACCAGCCGCCGCGCCGGCAGCAGTTTTAATTTACACAAAGCGTAGTCAGCCGTGTAATGCGCTGCGCTGCGGAGGATGATGCCGGATGGGATGGGATGGCAAGGCATGGAATGGGAGCAGGCAAATGACGATGGTGAAATAAACATGGAGGAGTAAGTGAGTGAGAGATGGAGAGCGCAGCAATTCGCGCGAGGACGACATTTAAAAAATGCCTTGAGGCAAGAGCGGGCGACGTTGACAATGGCGTGAAATGATTTATGAAATTACTTTTACCGTTGCATTCTCTTCAGCGCAAAGGGAGAGAGAGAGAGAGAGAGAGACTGAAGGATGGGATAAAAGAGAGAAGCATGACAGCGAGCTTGGCATAGCTTTGGGGAATTGTTTTAGCAAGCGACAAATCTCTGCCCCAAGTTCCCTATTTTTAAACACACAATAATTATTTCTACTCGTATTAAATATCGTATTTTTATTCATTCACAACAGCTGTACGACCACACCCGACGTCAGCCGACTAATCGATCTGTGTGATGGATGCCTCATCGTTGCTGGAACAGCGACTGCTCTCACCGTCCGTGCGGTACTTGATCGAGTCGATGATCTCCACATCGATGTCACAGTTGCCCTGCATATTGCCCGAGTCGAGGCCGGCGGTGGTGTCGCTCGAGCCACGTCCCAGCGAATCCTCGTCGCAGAGATCGGGCACGGACACTGAGGCCGTGACCGAGGCCGACTCTGACCGCGTGTCCAGGTCCTGGGCCTGGGCTTGATGCGCCGCAAACTGGCTGTAGAGACGGGGCAAGTGCTGCAGCATGTAGCTGGCACCGGACTTGGACAGATTCGCCGCAGCAGCAGCGGCGGCAGCGGCCGCTGACAGATTGGCCGCTGTGCTCGAGGCCGCCGGCTGGTTCTCCTTGCTCTCCCCGAGATCATAGTACTTGGCGTAGTGCTCGAATTTGCCCAGGCCTGCTCCAGCTCCGCCAGTTGCAGCTCCAGCGCCTGCGCCTGCGCCTGCCATGCCGCCGCCGGATCCGTTGGAGCACAGATTGATGGCATCGTTCTGGGCCGACTTGGGTATGGGCACAGTGAAGGCGGAGCCATGCCGCTGCTTGCTCAACAGATTGCTGGCCAAGCCGGAGCTGGAACCAGTCACCGTGCCTGTGCCCGCATTGGACCCTGGGGAGGAGTCCTCGCCGCTGGCTGTCAGTGCATTGTTGCTGCTGGACAATGGGGAGACATTCTCCTTCTTGCGATCGTAAATGTGCCCGGAGACGCGCAGATCGATGAAGAAGTGCAGCGGATCAATGCCGTAGGGGGCGTACAGCGGTGGATACCACACGGGCGGTGGCGGTGGCAGCACCAAGTCCTGTGGCGGCAACGACGCCGCCGGCGGTGTATTATCCTGCAACGAACTGTCCACCGCTCCGCCGAGGCTGTTTTTGGCAGCACTGGGCGGTGCTGGTGGCGCGGAGGCTGAGGCCACCGTTGGCGACTTGCCCTCCAGCTTCGCATAGCCATAGGGCGTCATGGAGTTGGTCTTGTTGGTCAGCTCCAGAGGCTTCTCCGCCACCGTCTGGTGTGGCTGCTGCGACTGATGTTGCTGCTGCAACTGTTGCTGCTGCTGGTGCTGCTGCTGTTGCTGCTGCTGTTGCTTCTCCTCTGCATCGCGTCGTTCCCTCAGCTGCTCGTAGTAGGGACGATGCGACCAGGAACGCTTTCTGGGACGCCGTACCAGTGCCGCCTGCTGCTGCTGTTGCTGCTGCTGCTGCTGTTGCTGTTGCTGCTGCTGTTGCTGCTGTTGTTGCAGCTGCAACACGCGTGCCGTCTCGTTGTTGCGTGCCTGCACCAGGGTGCGCAGCATATCGCTGAAGAAGAAATTGTTGGGCCCCACCGGTGCCGAGTACAGATACGGCGGCGTGGCGGCCATCAGGCGACTCACATAGTCCTGGTTCCGCAACTCGTGAATGTTGCTCTTGCCACGCGGCTGTGGCGGCGTCTGCTGTGACGTGGCTGCTGCTTGGGCTGCTGCTTGGGCTGCTGCTGCGGCTGCTGTCTCCGCCGCTGCATGTCCGGCTGTGGGTGTGCTGGGCGTACTGGGCGTGCCGCCGCTGTTCGATGTTGCTGCTGCCGCTTGTGGCATGCCTGCTGTGCTGCTCGAGGAGATGTTGCTGCTGCTGCTGCTGCTGTCCTTCATGGCTGCAAGCAGAGGGTGAGAGAGCAGAACACACAAAAGACGTTAGAGCTGTGTCTGTGGCAGAAGTCGCTTAAGATTTATAATACGAGAGAAACATGTACGATATTTGCATTGTCTTGGCACGCCCACGCCCCCAGGGAATGCCACAATTAAATCCGAATTTACTGTTTGCCTTTCTTGGCAGTTGGGAGTCTCAGGAATGACTCAAGAGGAGTGCCAGAAACACACACAAAAAAAAAAAGCCAGAAGGTGTAGAACATAGTCTCAGAATAGTCGCAGAAGATTTCCATCTAATTTCAAAACCACAAAGCAAATCTTCATTAATCGATTACAAATTGAATCGATTATGGGCAGCAAAACCCAGCATAACCATAAAGATTTCCCATAAAGTTAGCCATAAAATAAAGTCCATTTTGGCCTAGAAACTGCACTACAATTTAGGCATAAACCCGTCAGCTAATCAAATGGATTTCTTTAGTCTGACAAAACAAATCGATCGATGGATGCACCAACAAAATTCCATTGTGCCCACGGTTGGTTGTGCCGGAACACCTTTTGTTATAACTTTATTAAGCCCACAGCTGTGGCACACGGGGAACATTTGAAAATTTGCATAGAAAAACAACAGCGATAAAAGTGCCCTGGCCTCATCCTTAACAGCCCGACAGCCCCAGCTCCAAGCTACCGAAACCCCATTGTAGCAGCGTTTTCAAGCTGTTAATAAGCTTACACACATTGCGCCAAATTCCAGTAAATTAAATGTTTCTACCCTCAGCCACACACCCCCCCCCCCCCACACCTGAAAGCCGCTCGACTAATTTCCCCTTACCCGCTGAAAGCAACGCTCTGGCTCTCTGTCTCTCCCCCCCCACAATGCCATGTCAGGGAAGGACAAACTGAATTGTTGTGTTGCCAAACTGTTGAGGCACTTGTGACGCTGCCATCGTCATCGCCATCGCCGTGTGGCTGGCGGCCGCTTGTATCCTGTGGCTGTCAATTCAGCAACCAGGAACAGGCACCACACCCACTCCCTGACACTCCCATCCATCCATGGCACTTGCCTTGTTGCTCTTTCATTTTCGCATTTAAAAAGTTTTTAACAAGCCACAGCCGACGCCTGTTACCCGCTCACTGGATGGATGGATACCCTGTAGCAACAAAAAAAATAAAGTACGGCATGTGCAACTCAAGCTTCAGGAAAGAGAAAAGAATTCTTTTGTTGAGAACTTGGGCCCATAATTTGCAATTACATTTGACTATGAATTACATTTATTTTGTTGGAATTGTTACTGCCTAAAAGTGTGTTTAATTTGTATTTCATTTATTTGGTTTATGAATTAAGCAAAAAGCAACCCAAGTCAAGGAATTGCCGTATTTCTCATTACAAGTATTTCGTATAAAAGTGCTTAAGGCAATGATTGGAAGAGTTTCCTCAAAGCTAAAATAAATATGCAAAATATATCCCTAATTTATGCAGCATTTAAAGCTGAACTGAAGATCTACCATTAGCTTTATGAGTTCCGTAACTTTATTAATACTCAGCCCAGGGTATTGCCAGCCTAATATTTATACAAGAAAATTCCCACTTCATTTTGTGTGCTGCTACTTTCATTTCATTTCGTTTCCATCTTTTCATTTGCTGTTTTCCTGCGTGTGGATTTGTGGGAGTTTCATTTTTATTGTTTTTTCATTTCGTTGTAAAAATATAGAAAGTTTTCAAAACTTTTGTCGCATCCAAAGGAATATATGAGTGGTGGAATTGGCAGGGGAAAGGAATGGGTGGCAGATGGGACGCGGGGCCTTGATTTGCATTTTTTGGCAGCCGCGCGGGTGGACATTTTTGCGACAAAGTTGAAATTAGATTATGCTAATTAAGGCGTTGTGCTGGGGAGTTGGGGCGTGGCTAGGCAAAAATTTGTTGATTCGCCAGAGCCCTGATTGATGCCAGAGCAGAGCTTTAATTGCCATTTTTTATGGATAGCCCGCAAAAGACGGGACGGAGCTGGAGTTGTGGCAGCATTTTAATATTCAATCAGCAGCTGTCGGGAAGTTGTTTTTTTTTGTTGTTGCTCTGTGTCTTTTATGGCCAAGACCCAAGTTTGGAGCAACTTTTTGCAGCTGAGCAAAACCAAGGACCAAGACTGAGATTGAGGATGGAAGCAGCCACAGTAGCGGAGGATTGGCAGTGGGACTGAAGCGGAGGATTATCGCTGGATCGGAGGGATTGAGACTGAGAACTGGGCTGTGGACTTTCGAGGATTAATGCGCAAAGTGCATCCTGACTTTGCAGCGAGTTTTGTTTGTCTTTCTGCGCTAAAAACTTTCTTTGTGTACTTTTGCCATAATAATTCTTTGGGGCGAAGTTTTATTTTATTTTGCTCTTCGCTCGGCAATTAAAACCAAAGAGGAATCACAGGTCCTGGAACAGAGTCACCCACTCAAGGTTGCGCAACTGATTGATGTGGCATCAGTGGCATTGTCGCACCCACCCCCGAGGAGCGAGCAGTTGCAACCCTTGCAACACACACACACTGGCACTTGGGCTGTGGGCAACCTTATAACATAATTACAGCATAGCCAACAACAGCCATAAGCGCTGGAGTGAGAATGAGAGTCAGCAGCAACCCTCACGACATACAGCCAGAGCCCTGAGTAAAACCTCACCTGGCTCACCCAATGCAACCCCGATCGAAGGTTGAGGTTTGCCTGGGACGACGGCAGCCTGCGCCCAACTCGGGGCAATCTAACTGAAAGCTGGTTGAAAGTTTCCATAATCAAAAGGAGACAAAAGTTCACAGATCATGCCAAATATTTTTGTTGTGTTTTTTAAAGCTGAAAATTCAATCAAATAATGTTCATTCGCTGTTGAACGTTTCCATAAACGAAATGACACATATATGGGAATTTGTACATTTAATAATGAACGAATATTCTAGGATATTTCAGATTTAGATAAGCTGAGCTTTTGTAGCTCCATCAGAAAGTATCTTAAATCTTCTAAATATACCCAAAGTGAAAGCAGAAAATTCTGTTCCGATTTATGCACCAAAACGTTTGCCTTTTGGGTTGTATCCTTGCTCAATTAGTTGGCCATTTACAGTGCCCCTTTTTCATTGCTGTTCCTGTCCTGTGCTTGCCCCCTGTCACTGCCACACACACACACACACACACACAAATGGACACACACATGGACATGGACATCCAGGCACCCATGAACTTGCAGTGACATGTCGTTGTGGTGTTAACGTTACATCGTTTGACTGCGAATTAAAATAATGTGCCACTTGTGGCTCCGTGCGGATGTACACACACATGTGTGTGTACGAAACTCCACTTCATATGCAGACAGACAGAGAGAGAGAGAGAGAGAGAGAGAGATTCCCCCAGGCCCTGGCCTGTGTGTCTGCTGCGTGTCCTGTGCGTTGGCTGAAAATTTGACAAAATTTCATTTGTGCAACTTTGGTCGTTGCCACACATCGTTGCCCAAATCGAATTTGATTTGAACCCTTTCGGGCAGGTTCGCTCTACTCACTCTCTGAGAGTGATCCGTGCCCACCCCTCAGGGTCTGTCTGTGGCCTTGATGCGTGTTTGAGTTATGGCTAAATAATTTCAGCTTCATTTTGAAGTTCAACATTGGACACACGGCCACCAAGGGATGTGCAAATCATGTGTGTGTGTGTGTGGGGTTGCGATTCGACTGTTATGTGATGCGGTTTGGTTTGGTTCATTGAATTGATAATGGCTATGGAAGTGGTACTGTAAGTGGGATTGCTAGTGGTACTGGGAGTTGACAAGAACATGGGGGATTATGTTCTTAAGAATGTTCCAAACTTTTCTATGCCAAATGGAATGGGATTAAAACCAAAACCAAAACCAAATTATTAGCAGATCTAACAAAGATATCTCTACTAAAGATTCTTAACTCCAGATACATAGAAATGCAGTGAATAAAGTCAATACAATGTTGATTTCTGCTCACATATGGAGTGTTCTGTTGGCAAGGCTTTTGATTGGCAAACAATTTCAAGTATTTCTTGTTTAATTAGCTCGAATTTAACCAAAAGAATCACTAAAATTTCGTTAAAAATTAACGTAAATAAAGGAAATACCAAGCGACTTTCAAGATATTTAAGAACTGAATTCCGAAGCTATGAAATCGGTCAGCAAAACTCACAAATTTGATGAGAAAACCCAGTAGAAGAAGATTCCTTTCGAATAGTTCAAAAATAGTTGACAAGTCCATAGAAATCTTCAGGAAGCGATTCTACTTGGGGTAGTCTGGGGTTTTTTTTTAAGTCCGTGAGAAGGTCGATGGTTGAGACTTAAACAAAAATATAAAGGGAATCACTTCTGGAATTGTGAGCTCCCCAAAAAAGAGGAACTCCATCAAGGGTTTGGGAAAATCTTATCCGTAGATTCCATAAAACAAATGGCAAACCAATGGGATTTATTTTGTTAAAAAGATTCTCAAATTCTTCACTTCAGATCCGTTTTCCTCACTCAAGCACAAAACAAACAAAAATCACACTCGTTGCACGGGATCTCACCTTGGATTTTGGATCTTTAATTGTATTTTTTTGTTGTCTCACATTCACTGGCAAAAAAAAAGAGAAGACCACAAGCCGAAAGGACACTGGTCGAGAGAGATGCTGCTGAACTGCCGTCGATGACAGTTAAAAATCAAATGAAATGAATGCCACTGCCAGTGTGGCAGCAACAGCCGCAGCAGCAGCAGCAGCAGCAGCAGCCACAGCCAACGAGTCCTGAGACCGAGACAGCGACAGCGACAGAGGCTGAGGCAGTGGCAGCGACCGAGACCAGTGCGAGGACGAGTACAAGGACCAGGATGAGGATGAGGCGTGTGCGTTTTGGTACGATTTTAAAATTATGAATTGTTGGAAATGAATGAAACGGAGCAGAAGCAGCAGCAGCAACAGCAGCAACAGCGAAGCGTTAGCTAGGTGGGAGTGCGCTTCAGTGCCTGTTGGCATTGGTGGTG